TTCCTCACAAGAAAACAAAAAAAAACCAGCTTCTTTAGGACTTCCCCTATTGGCAATATAGGGACAAAATACTCTGAAGGGCCTTCCCATTATAAGACAACTATATCCGTGATAGAGCACACTTCTTGAAGCATTACTGGGCTCACAGGAAGAAACAGAAGTCTCTACGGATGAAAAAGAAAAACAGCAAACAAAATACAATAAGCCAAGAATGGAGTGGGAGGTGGTATGCAGTAATTCACTATGCAAACCCAAGGTCAGGGTTGCCTCAGTAAAAATACCAATGCTGGGTCCCAGAGACTAAATCTCGAGTCCACTTCCAAGTGGGAGACCTGAGTATAGGACAACTGCATAAAGCCAGGATTCCAGAAGGGAGAAAATGCAAATCCTCTCTTCAGGAATCATCCACGATTTATACCCTGAGGATTTCATAATTAAGATTAGCCAAGGGCCGGCCCCATGGCTTAGCGGTTAAGTGCGTGCGCTCCGCTGCTGGCGGCCCGGGTTCGGATCCCGGGTGCGCACCGACGCATGGCTTCTCCGGCCATGCCGAGGCCGCGTCCCACATACGGCAACTAGAAGGATGTGTAGCTATGACATACAACTATCTACTGGGGAAAAATAAATAAATAAAATTAAAAAAAAAAAAAAGATTAGCCAAATATTAGCTACACAAGCAAAGATTGCAAAATATTCATGTAAATAAACCATCATGAATGAGACTCAGAAGAAACAACAAACAGTAGATTTTAGATACTAATGGTCTTCATATATCAGACTTATCAGATTTAGAATATAAAACCATGCATAAAATGTTTAAGAAATAAAAGATGGACTCTAAAAATAAATAAGCAACAAAACAAATATGATGAGAGATATGGAAACAAACCAATAGAACTCTTCAGGGGAAAATACAATCATTGAATTGTAAAACTCAGCAGATGGGTTATAGCAGAATAGATATAGCTAAAGACGGTATTAATGTCCTGGAAAAAATTACCCAGAATGCAGCATACAGACAAGGAGATGGAAATTATGAAAAAGAGATTAAGAGACAAAGAACATAAAATGAAAATGTCATATATATCTAATCAAAGTTCCAGAAAGAGAAAACAGAGAGAATGGAGAACAGACATTCATGAAAGACATCATCATTGATAATTTCCCAAAACTTATGCAGAACATTAACCTATACATAGGCTTGTGGTATAGATAGGTATAGGAAATATAAAAAGAAGTCCAGAGGAACTAAATTTACTCTTCTGCCTGAAATAACAACAAAAAAAAGACAAAGTATGTGAAACAACAATTTTCAAGACACTGGAAATCAGGCAACGAAAGAAATTGATCCCTGAGAGACCAGAAATAAATAAAGTAAGCCCTATGATTGCTCCAACTTATTGACTTGAGAGAGTTTTGAGGCCATAGCACAAGAAGAGGGAACCAAGGAGGAGCCCAGTGGACTCCTTGAGTTAAGGAGACAGAGCAAAGAGCCTAGAGAGATGAAAGCAGCTAGAGTTGAGAGGACAGAGTATCAGAGAGAAAAGAGCTACACAGAGAAAGAACTCTAGAGCTCTGCAGAGGGTCCCCCTCAAGTATTCAGCTAAGTAATGATCGGGGCATAAATGTGAAGAAACTACCTGAGACCAGGGAAAGAACCATTTGAAAAGATGAGAGGTAAGAGTGCCCAGCACTCACACATGGCTCAAAATAGTGCCTGTTCCAACTAGCTAGACTGGGAAACTCATGATTCATAGGCATTGGATATAGTACAAAGAAAAGTCTTGCCTTGGTATGCAGAAATAATTAGCCCTAAAGTGAGCACTGTTCTGGACCCACCTAAAGACCCAAAAGGATCAAACTGTTTTCAAGTAACTTAATTGTGTCCTAGAACAAAGCTCAACAATATTTTTAGAAATACAAAAATATATAGCATCCACTAAGGTAAAATTCACAATGTCTGTCATTCAATCAAAATTACCAAGCATGCAAAGAAGCAGGAAAACACTGATGAGGAGAAAACTCAATCGAAACTGACCCAGAACTGGCATAAATGTTAGAATTAACAGACAAGGACATTAAAAGTTATCATACCTATATTCTATATATTCAAAAAATTATATAATGACATGGAAGATATTTTTAAAAGATCCATATTGAGCTTCTAGAGATGAAAACTGCAGTGTCTGAGATGAAAACATCATTGGGTAGGATTAAAAACAGATTAGATATTGCAGAAGAAAAGATTAGTGAACTTGAAGATATAGCAATAGAAACAATCCAAAATGAACAGAAAAAGAGGAAAAAACACAAGAAAAAATGTCCAAAACATCAGTGATCTGTGGGACAACTTCATTATTAGTCGCCTGATATCTGTGTAAATGGACTCCCCCAGAAAGGGGGCATGGAAGAAAAAATACTTGACAAAAAACTAGCCAAAAAACGTCCATATTTGATGAAAAATATAAACTCACAGATTCAAAAATCTCAATGAAAACCAAGGACAAGAAACACTAAGAAAACTACGTCAAGGCACATCATAATCAAATTGCTCAAAAGCAATGATATGGTTCCCAGAACTTAATGAATTCCACAAAATAATGGTCAGGAAACATTTCAGTAGTTTAAAATTCAGGTGAGAGTAAAGAAACCAGTCTGAAAAGACTACATACAGTATGATCCCAACTATATGATATTCTGGAAAAGCAAAAGTATAGAGACAGTAAAACGATCAGTGGTTGCCAAGGATTCAGGGGGATAGGAATGGAGGGAGATAAACAGGTGATGCACAGGGGGTTTTTAGGGCCATGAAACTATTCTGTATGTTACTGTAATGGTGGTAATACTGTATGATACCATATTTTGAAATCAACATTGACCAATTAGTGTGCTTAGTATCTTTGACTAAGAAAACTTGAAAGAACTGGGGATGCTTAGCCTGGATAAGAGAATGCACAAGAGGGAAGACAAAATGGCTGTTTTCAAATATTTAAAGAGCTATAAGGTGAAAGAAAGAATAGACTTATCCTGAGTATTTCCAGAGTACAAAATTAGGATTAGTGAGTAGAAGTTATAGTAAGGTAGATTAATTTAAAAATTTTATTATGTGAAATTTGATACACAAAGGAAAATATGCAATGTAAATGAGGAATCACCATGATGAAATGACTATCTGTGAACACTTTATAACTTTTTTACTGAGATATAATTTACATGCCATAAAATTCTCCCCTTTTAAAGTTTATAATACTGTTTAGTATATTCACAAAGTTGCGCAACCATCAGCACTAACTCCAGAGTATTTCCATCATCCCCCCAAAAAACCCTTAATGGTACCCATTAGCAGTCACTCTCCACTCCTCTTTATCCCAGTCCCTGGCAACTACTAGTCTATTTTCTGTCTGGATTTGCCTCTTCTGGACATTTCATATAAATGGATTCATATAATATCTGACCTTTTGTATCTAGCTTCTTTCATTTAGTATAATGTTTTCAAATTTCACCCATGTTATATCATGTATCAGTACTTCATTCCTTTTTATGGTCAAAAAATATGCATTTGTCAAAACACATAGAACAGTACAATACAAAGAATAAACCTTAATATAAACTATAGACTTTAGTTGATAATAATATATCAATATTGGTTCATTCATTATAACAAATATACCACATTAATACAAGATGTTAATAAGGAGGGAAACTGTACATGGGGGAGAGAGGGGTATAAGGAAACTCTGTATTATCTGCTCATTTCTTCTGTAAATCTAAAACTATTCCAAAGAACAAAAACCTTTTATTTTTAAAAAGAAAGTCAGGTGAGCACATTTTTAAAAAAATGAACAGGCAAGTAAAATACAGAAATATTAAGTATATATATTTTTTAATTCATTAAAAAATATGTAAATATAAAACTATATATATACGACAAAAGATTAGCTCCTAGGATATATAAAGAACTCATAAATCTCAATAAAAGGACAAACAACCCAAGTTAAAAATAGGCAAAACGTGAACAGATATTTCAAATATATATATATGGTAAATAAGCTCATGAAAACGTGCTCAACATCTTTAGTTGGCAGAGAATTGCAAGTTAAAACCATAATGACATACTAGTACACACCAGAATGGCCAAAATTAAAAAGACTTATAAAACCAAATGTTGGCAAAAATATGGAGCAACCAGAACTCTCATACATTATTAGTGGAAGTATATAACAGTACAACCACTTCAGGAAAAGGTATGACAAGTTCTTACAAAAATTCACAAAAAGATTCATACAAGAATGTCTGTGGTAGCTTTATTCATAATAGCCCAAAACTGGAAACAATCCAGCGTCCAATTGATAGAAGGGATAAACAAAGTGGTTTTTGTTCCATTCATACAATGGAATACTACTCAGCAATAAAAAGGAAAAAACCCCCAATACATGGAACAACATGGATGAATCTCAAAAACATGCTATGTGAAAGAAGCCTTACATAAAAGAGTACATACTGTATGATCCCATTTATATGAAGTTCCTAAATAGGCGAAACTAATCTAAGATGGAAAAAAGTCAGAACCTCTGGAGAAGTGGGGTGGGCTTTGACTGGAAAAGAGGATTAGGGAACTCTGTGGGGTGATGGTAATACTCTATATCTTGATAAGGGTTTGTGTTATATAAGTATATGTATTTGTCAAAAGTCAATAAATGCAGACAAGATTCGTGTATTTCAGTATATGTAAATTTTATTAAAAAAAGAAAAAAAGGCAAACAACGAATTCTGGTTAATGATATACATGCTGAAGTATGTAGAGGGAAATACACTGATGTCTGCAATTTACTTTGAAGTGCATGAAATTGGTGGATGGATAGAAGGATGGCTAGATGGACAGACAAGCGATAAAGCAAGTAGAGTGAATTTTTTGTGTGTGTGTGAAGAAGATGAGCCCTGAGCTAACATCCATGCCAATTCTCCTCTTTTTTTTTGCTGAGGAAGACCAGCCCTGAGCTAACATCTATTGCCAATCCTCCTCCCTTTTTCCCTCCCTTCTCCCCAAAGCCCCAGTAGATAGTTGTATGTCATAGTTGCACATCCTTCTAGTTGCTGTATGTGGGATGCCGCCTCAGCATGGCCAGACAAGCGGTGCATCGGTGCACGCCCGGGATCCGAACCCGGGCCGCCAGTAGTAGAGCATGCGCACTTAACTGCTAAGCCACGGGGCTGCCCCCTAGAGTAAAATATTAATGGCAAAATCTAGATGGTGAGTATATGCATGCCCACAGTAAAATTCTTTCAATTTTTATGGGAATTTGGAAATTTCCATAATAAAATATTGGAAAAAATAAAAATAACAACTGAAAGAAAGTCAGGTGCCTGCATCCAAAGATATTTACAGTGTCAACCAAAAAGAATTTACAGCAGCAGCCCGATTTCCACGTAATCTGAGAGTCTTGTTCAGCTCATACCCAACCTGGCAGTTATTTTTTCCCCTATAAAAAACAGTTATTATGGGGGCCGGCTCGGTGGCACAAGCGGTTAAGTGTGGCGCACTCCGCTGCGGCAGCCCGGAGTTCGCCAGTTTGGATCCCCGGCGCGACACCCCGCTTGGCAAGCCATACTGTGGCGGCATCCCATATAAAGTGGAGGAAGATGGGCATGGATGTTAGCCCAGGGCCAGTCTTCCTCAGCAAAAAAAGAGGAGGATTGGCAGATGTTAGCACAGGGCTGATCTTCCACACACACACACACACAAAAAAAAACAGTTATTATGCAACTGTTTCATATGAAACCCTCCTTCTGCAGCAACAGGTCTCAAAGGCAGTTGCATGAAAAGCAGAGACACACACAAGCTGATGAGATGGCACTCAATGAGACGTACAGCAGAAAGCTACAGTAACACGCAAACAGAGAGAGGAGCTTAGAGGCTGATATCAAGTATTTCCAGAGCACGCATGGGGTAACCATTTACTGGGGACGTCTATTGGATCCCCACAACAATCTTGTGAAGCAGGTAGGACTCCGTAAGATACCAGGCTCAGGACAACGAAAGTCTTCCTCTTTGAAGGTGGGCTCTGGACCTTTAAAAGAGCTCCTAACACAACAAAATGCTGGCCGCTAGTTTATTTTGGACCTATTGAGTGTTTCACCATTTCACAAACACATCATGAATGTTTGCAGCAATCCTCCTGAAATCTCATGGCTTATTCTCACCTACTTTGTATTCTTGACTCCAACTTTACCCTATTCTAAATCCTTGGCTTTCAAGCCTACTCTGATACTATCTCTGGCACTTTGGAGTTAGTATTTTTGTCTCCCTAGTGTCTGACTCAACTTTTCTTAAAGGATTTTGGCTTTGACTTGCCTGCCTGTCTCTCTTTGTTTAGACTTCCTGGGATAGGACCCCACCCTATTTTGGGCCATAGAAGCTAACTCCTGATATCAGCTGTTATACCCACTCATACCTGTTCCTCATGAGGGGAAGGTTTGGATACACTGTTAGTCATCTAGTTCCTTTGCCATGCCTTCCTCATCTATCCCTCCTGGCTTTGTTCTTAGCTTAACAACGCATACTTTAGTTGTCCCTATCTTCATTCTAATTTGACATTCTCCAGCTCTTGATGGTCTTCCAACAACTTACTCCTTAGTACTCCTTAGTACCTAACCTTGACCAGTCTCTTATTAATGGCTTTGCTTCTAGTTTCTCAGCACCGTCAGATAGGAGGACTCAGCTTACATAAATCAGATGGTGGGCAAATAGGGCAAATTTATATTATTAATTCCCTCTCAGGAGAAACAGATATTCAGAGAGATCTAATAATTTGCCTATGGATCCATGGCAAGTAAGCTGCAGATATGTAATCTGAACCCAGTGTTCTAATTCTACTATTCCTTTCAGCTTTTTGGAAAGAACTATAGTCATGAGAAGAAGAATTATAGTAACAATAGTAATTATCATCATCTATAATAATTATATGTATTGAGCACCTACTTCTGTGCTCTCATTTAAACCTTACCACTATCCTATAAAGCATCTTAGTGCTTGACACAGAGTAGACACTCAATAAGTATTATTGATGAATGAACAAATAGACAAATTAAAATTTTCACAGTAGCTATTATCTTCATTTAAAGATGAGAAAACTAAGGCCCAGACTTTTACCAAGGTCACACATCTAGATGATGATTTGAAACCAGATCGGTCTGTCTCCAGAATCTACGCTCTTTCCACTATGTCGCATAGCACTTCACTCCCAATCATAAAATAATATGGCATCAAACATCCCAACAGAAATCACCTTAAGGAAGAAAATATAATAGTAATACAATTAGGTTCCTTATTATCAACAGAATAGAGAAGTGTACTTTTGTGATTTTTCTCAAAAGCAGATATAAACATAATTCTAATATAAAATTCAATAGGAAACTGGGATACTCCCATAACAGCTCTAACCTGATTTTAGACAGTAGTTCTCCCCTATCTGCACAGTCCACACTGACTTGTCGAATAAGTTCATGAAATACTGTATTGTAAATGGTTTGTTCCTTCTTCAATATATGTAGTAGTTTGTGCATCTGGCAGAAGATAATTAAGATAATCAGTATTTATTACAGTCTTGTCAGTAAAAACCATTTTAGGTGGTAAGCACCCTGAATGTGAATAAGTTTTAGAAACACCTTGATTGGGCCGGCCCCGTGGCTTAGCGGTTAAGTGCATAAGCTCCGCTACTGGCGGCCCGGGGTTCGGATCCCGGGCGTGCACCAATGCACCACTTCTCCGGCCATGCTGGGGCCGTGTCCCACATACAGCAACTAGAGGGATGTGCAACTATGACATACAACTATCTACTGGGGCTTTGGGGGGAAAAAAAAAAAAGGAGGAGGATTGGCATAGATGTTAGCTCAGAGCTGGTCTTCCTCAGCAAAAAGAGGAGGATTGGCACAGATGTTAGCTCAGGGCTGATCTTCCTCACAAAAAAAAGAAACACCTTGATTAATTTATTTGACTTACATTTTCCTTTATCAATATATATACAAAAATGATACATTATTTTTAAAAACCTATGTCTAATCATGCACCTCTTTATATGATGCACTTGAGAAGGTCACAATATCACTTCTATGTTGTCCCTGGCAAAAATACAAAACCTGAATCTAATCATGAGTACACATCAGACAAACCAAAATTGAGGAACATTCTACAGAATAACTGGCCTGTGCACATCCAAATATCAAGGTCAAGAAAAACAAAAAACTGTTTTTTAAACTTGTCTAAAGGAACATGACAGGGACCAGCCTGGTGGCTAGCGGTTAAATTTGCGCACTCCGCTTCGGCAGCCCGGGGTTCACAGGTTCGGATCCTGGGCACAGACATATGCACCGCTTATTAAGCCATGCTGTGGCAGCCGTCCCACATATAAAATAGAGGAAGATGGGCACAGATGTTAGCCCAGAGACAATCTTCCTCAGTAAAAAGAGGAGAATTGGCAACAGATGTTAACTCAGGGCTAATCTTCCTCAACAAAAAAATTAAAAAATAAAAAATAAAGGAATATGACAACTAAAAGCATTGTGTGATCCTGGGATCCTGAAATAGAGAAGGAAAAATAGCTATAAAAGCCATTATAGGGACAATTGATAAAATTTGCAATTTGAATATGGACTATATTCATAATACTATCATACCAATGTTAAATTTTCTGATTTTGATGACTGTATTATGGATATGTAAGAGAATGTCCTTATCCATAGGAAATATACTCTGAAATGTTTGGTGGTAAAGAGGCATGATGTCGTCACCTTCCTTTAAAATGGTTCAGAAAAAATTATATAGAGAGAGGGAGAGAGAATGATAAATCTAATAGGGAACAATGTAAAAAATTGGTGAATCTGGGTAAAGGTTATATAGGAGTGCCTTATATCAAACTTGTCTATTTCAAGTTTCAAATCTATAAAAATAAAAACTTACAAAACAAAAAAGAAATAGCCCTCGTAAAGAAAAAAATCGCTCTATGTAAGACTGAAAAAGTTCTTTCATTAAGTACAAAATAAAAATTATAAGTGGTAAGAAAGCATGGTTTAATTGGCAGTGTTTTTTAGTGGGACATAAAGTAATAGGGGTCTTATAATCAATGGTGCCTTATATTCAATGAAATACAGTAATAATAATACTAACAATTAATTATACCGTGTTTACCACATGTTCTAAGCCCTTTACATTTATTATGTCATTTAATCTCCACAACAACCCTATGAGGTAGATATTATTATTATCTCTAATTTACAGATGAGGAAATTAAGGCACAAATACATTAAATGCCTTGCCCAAGGTCACCAGCTAATAAATGGCAGGGCCAGGATTCCAATCCAGGCATTCCACCTTGAGTGCATGCTCTTCACCACTAGGTTACACTGATCTTTGCAACTACCTTGGTTGGCCCTGTATATTCCTGATTTTCCACACCAGCTCTCTCTAGCATAGTATCCATCACGTCATTCAGCTGGACCACTTCTACTCTTTTATTAGGTTTCCTAAAAGATTAAGGTGGCAGATTTATGTAATTAGTGTTACAAAAAATAGATCATCCTCAAATGGCAAAAAGATTATTATATTTATAAAGAAAATGTATATACTATGGAATATTAATCGTATTTTAAATCATTAGACCTGTATGTACTGATCTAGTGAGATATCAGTAATATAGCAAAAAAAGAAAACAAGAAAAATGCAAAGAGTATGATCCTCTTTTTCGTAAAAGAAAATAATGCTCCACCCCACAAAAATTCTATACACCTACTGTGTAAGATTGTAAGAACACAGAAAAAATGTGGAGAGATAAACACCAAGCTGTTAATATTGATTACAATGTAAGAGAAGAAAAGGAACAAAGGAGAGATAATAAGAAAAAAAAAATACAGCAAAATGGAGAAATACTAATGGTTAAATGTAGAATATAAAAGTATTTTATATATGATTCAGCAATCCCACTTTTGAGTATTTATCCAAAAGAATTGAAATCAGGATCTGGAAGAGATACTAGCACTCCCAGGATCATTGCAGCACTATTCACAATAGTCAAGATGTGGTAACAACCTAAGTGTCCATCAATAGATGAACGGAAAAAGAAGATGTGGTACATATACACATACAATGGAATATTATTCAGTCTTAAAAAAAAATGAAATTCTGCAATATGTAACAATATGGATGAACCTGGAGGACATTAGGCTAAGTGAAATAAGCCAGTCACAAAAGGACAAATACTGCATGATCTCACTTACATGAGGAATATTCTAAAATAGTCAAAATCATAGAATCAGAGAGTGGGATGGTGGTTTCCAGGGGCTAGGGGGAGAGGAAATGGGAAATTACTAATCAATGGGAATAAAGTTTCAGTTATGCAAGGTGAATAAGTTCTACAGATCTACAACATTGTGCCTACGGTTAACAAAACTGTATAGCACACTTAAAAATTTGTTAAGAGGGTAAATCTCATGTTAAGTGTTCTTACCACAATAAGATAAAATTTAAAAACAAAAAAAAGAAATTTGAAACTGTAAAAAAAAGTATTATAGGACTTAAATATTATAAATATGTAAAAATTGAATAAATCGCAATTGGACAAATGAAAACACTGATTAAATAATAGAATTGTAGGCAATTATTGTCTTGGGTTTCTGCTGTAATTTTAATATTTTTTATGTAATAAAGTATCAAGAAAAAGGAATATATATGTATATAGTTATTCTTTCTGAGAAATGCTTTCAAAAATAAAAAGTACTTACATGGATGGAAAGAGCAATAGCCTGTTTTCACTATCTGTGAGGAGAGTAGTATATTTGCTGCAATAAATAATACAGGTAAATGTTATTGTAAGAAAATTATCTGGCCTGTTTATCACATATCACAACATGATAAACTTAAGACCTCATGGAATTGAGAAGCTTGGAGAAACCAGAAAAGTCCATCATTTGGCACACAAGGTCATACATAAATAGCCTTACACATCTACAGACAGATGTAATAATATTTATCATATTTGGAACATTTTTTAGTAAAAGAGCTTCAATCACATTCCTCAATATGTCACAAGATGAAAATTTCCTTGGGGCTGGCCCGGTGGCGCAAGCGGTTAAGTGCGCGCGCTCCGCTGTGGCGGCCTGGGGTTCGCCGGTTCAGATCCCAGGTGCGCACAAACACACCGCTTGTCAAACCATGCTGTGGCGGCGTCCCATATAAAGTAGAGGAAGATGGGCATGGATGCTAGCCCAGGGCCAGTCTTCCTCAGCAAAAAAGAGGAGGATTGGCATCAGATGTTAGCTCAGGGCTGGTCTTCCTCACAAAAAAAAAAAGAAAGAAACAAAATTTCCTTGATTCATTTTAAAAAAACACATAACTTTTCAAAGGTGGAAGGATGTTCTAAGAACACTGAAGTCAATAAAGTTAAGTGACTAAACTGGTTAAACAATTAATAAGAAGCATAGAATGAAACCAGAACTGAGCTTTCCTAACTCCCAGCATATCTGCCCTCTTGTAGTGCCTGTTACACCTAAATGAGTATCACAATGAGAGCCACATGGTAATCCTTTAAATGCATTATTATTTATATATCTTTTTTCTTCCCCTAGTTAATAAGGATTTCTTTTGGTTCTGCCCCCTACTGGAACACCATTGGTTAATAAGGTCTATTTTCAGAATTTAGATCAGTGAAAAATCTCCAGGGAATATACACTCAAAATAAAGTTTCAAAAATGAGTATGTGAGAGGCACTAGAAGTGATGACACCCCAGGAGCAATGAGCACACCTAGCACCCAGATCTTGGTCTCTAGGTACCATTCTCCACTAAGAGGAATCAGTACTCCTTGGAGAAATGACTCAGAGCTCATTCCAAAGCTGGAGTTGGGAAATAAAAGATGAACCTGGAAATCTTATTGAGCCAGAAAATAAGGGAGCATTCAAGAATGATAGGGACATGTCCAAAGAACACAAGAGCCAGCTCAAAGGAGCTGGCATTCGCCAAATCTGGAAAAATTTGAACATCAAAATAAATAATAATAGTAAAGAATTATAACCCATTGAATCAAATAGAAATCCATGAGTCTATATGGTAAAATGCCAACTAACAAATACAGAAGAAATGATGGAGCTAAAAAAAGTCATCAAAAGATCTATATCTAGTGGGTTGCTAGGAAATATACACTAAAGTATTTGGTGATAAAGTGTCACAATGTCTCCAATTTACTCTTGAATAGTTTGAATAGTTTAAATAAGTATGTGTGTGTGCACGTGTGTCTGTATTAAAGCAAATGAGGAAAAATGCAAAAACTCCGTAAGTCAGAATAGACAGTATACTGGAGTTCCTTGTCCTATTTTTGTAACTTTTTTATAATTTTGAAATTATACAGAAATAAAAAGTTACCCCAAAAATGAGTTCCATTTAGTTCTCTTTGGAAAAATATTGTTCTGAAACCCACCATCATAAGGAAGTGCCATATAACATATGTATTGGATAAGGCAAAAAGAGTGACAGCTTCTGGACATTTTATTATAAAAGCTTAGTCCAAAGTTCTAGTTTTTTAAACAATGAAACATTCAAGTGTTGTTCAGAAAATGAAAACAAGATCCCTCCTTTTTGTGTTTGTGCGTGAGGAAGATTAGCCCTGAGCTAACCTCTGTGCCAATCTTCCTCTACTTTGTACGGGGGTCCACCACAGCATGGCTGACAAGTGGTGTAGGTCTGTGCCTGGGATCTGAACCTGTGAATCCTGGCCGCCAGAGCAGAGCGTGCCAAACTTAACCACTACACCACGGGGCTGGCCCCCAAGATACCATTTTTAATCCCATAAGCAGGAATCAAAAAAAAACTGGAGACGGCTAGTCTGCAGTCTGGAGCTAAGCCCTAGAGCGTGCATTATGAGATTCCAGCTTAGAGCACTTTCCTTTGTCTCCATGGTCATTGCTCAAAACCATTCCTAAAGAGGCATACTCAAGTGTTCAGAACAAAGATCTATTTTTTTTAATTCAAAATTAAACAGTAGGAAAAGACAGAACAATTTAATCACTAAAATCCCAAATTATTTCAAGTAAGACTTTTTCATTAGCTTTTGATACTTTTCTTAAATTGTATTAGGATGGTAGGCCAAATTCTTCCTCATTGCAGTGTAGATAATGCCTAGGAACACGAGTGGACTGTTCTCAGGTTCCTCCATGTCTGGGAAGGAGGAAACAGTGCAACTTGCCAGATATTCAGTATATACCATAGTACTCACTCATCATAACACTCCAAACCGGAAACACCTGTATTTGACACAATATGAAATTCTTCAGGAATCAAAGTATCTGTTACTTTCTTTGGCTGAAAAAAAAAATGGACAAAAATGAAACATTAGTAGATGAAAAAAACTGAATTGCACAAATCCTAATTCCTATGGCAATGGGATACTATATATTAAGTTAAGAGATTTTATTAGAGAAATAACAATATTAGTAATGTGGGTCATGGCAAGTAGTAAAAAACTTTTAGCAGAGCATACATTAAAAAATAACCATGAAATAAAGAACCTTGGTTTTAGTATTAGTTACACATGTCCCATACATTCAGAAATCCAATGACTCTTTAAAATTCAATGGGAATTTAAAATTCACCTCAGCAACATTCCAAAAATAAGAATCCTACAACTTTAAACTGTGGGTTTTGAAAAAAAAAAATCTAGTCTCCTATACTATATTTTCTAGATTAAAGTAGATAATCGTATTTTGGAAAATGGCTTAAAATATCTTTGATCTTTTCCCAATAAATACCCTTTTCTAGAAATAATTAGAAAGTGCTATGAAAACTGATAAGCAATGCAGATTGTTGTTATAGTATGACATTGCTTTATATTTTGGGGAAATGATTTTGTTTTAAAAGTAGAAAGAGGGAGAGGAAATTATTTGTCAAATCCTTTATTACCTTATGAGGCACAATGACACCATCATGTGACTGTAATGAACGATCCAAATGTGGGGGACAAACTGTCCACTCCCTAGTCTCTCCTTTAACATATTTAACATCGTACAGAAAAGAAATATCCCTAAAAAATAAGAAAAATATATTTAAAAATAAAATTTCTGTCTGGCGACTGGAAAAGAGTGGGTAAGGTCCACACACATTCTTTCAGTGGGTAAAAAGTGATACAAAACTGGTCTCCTTACCTCATACTTTACTAAGAAGGCTGAGGCATTAGACATGAGCTTCCCCTCACATCTTCTTCTTCTCCACCTCAAATTTCTCATTCACATCACAAATTCTTTCCTTTCCTTCAATCTCAGGTTATGATGTATCCTCTACCCCAGGGTTATTTCCTCCACCTATGTCCCCGAAATCATCTTTGCCCACATCCTCAGGGATCTCATTCCATCAATCATAGTTTCCGTGTATCTCCTCTTCTCTTGGAACCTTCCTTTGTCTATAACTCAACACTTTCCCCCTTCTAAAAATCTTCCCTTGACCATGCATTCTTGTCATGTTATCACGATCTATCGATCTCTCCCTTTCTGTTAAACATCAGACTTCTTAAAATTTCCCTGCAATCTGGTTTCCATCCCTCTCTCTCTTCTGAAACCATTCTCAGAAAGCTGATGATGACCTTCCACTGGTAAGTAATCAGTTCTTATCTTCCACTATTTCCATGAAACATTTTCCAGGGCTGATTACCTCTTTTTTGTGTGTGTGTGAGGAGATCAGCCCTGTGCTAACATCTACCAATCCTCCTCTTTTTTTTTTGCTGAGGAAGACTGGCCCTGGGCTAACATCTGCGCCCATCTTCCTCCACTTTATATGGGACGCCGCCACAGCATGGCTTGCCAAGCAGTGCGTCGGTGCACGCCTGGGATCCGAACCAGAGTTCACCGCATTGGAGCGCGCGCACTTAACCGCTTGCGCCACCGGGCCGGCCCTATGATCACCTCACTTTTTAAAAACACTCTCCTCCCCTCTATCTTCTGTGTTACTGGGCTCTCCTGGTTCTTTCATCCTAACTACTCCTTCTTGGACTTCTCTGTGACCTCCTGCCTATTAAATGGAAATGCTCCACAACATTCTCTCCTCATCCCTCTATTCTTCTTTCCTTACACTTTCTCCCTTGGCAATGTCATCAAATCTCAACTTACCACATTTGCTACCGCTAGATACAACTGAATAAGCCTCCCTCTATTCTCACTTTTCACCCTCCTATATCCACTAATTCTTTCAGTTACCACCACCACTCTACTCATCAAAATCTCAGCATCCGTAACTGATTCCTTCCCATCCTTTACCCTCAATATCCATCTATCACTGTTATTTTTACAGTCACACTCATATCATTCTAGTGATCGGTCCTCGTGTCTCTTGCCAATGCCAAATCTCTAGTCCAAACTGTCATTACTTTTTATGTGGATTCTCAAGTCTCTCTAGTATAGTCTATGTTCTACTTCTGCCAGATTCATCTCCCTATAGCACAGTTATAATTGTGCCACTTACTGCATATAATTTTCAGATGTCTCTGCCCCTCTCCCCAATTTTAATTAGTACAGCCTTTAAGGAAAACAGTACGGAGTTTCCTCAAAAAAAAAAAAAATAGAACCACCATATGAGCCAGCAACCCCACTTCTGGGTATATATCCAAAGGAAATGAAACCTGGATCTTGAAGAGATATCTGCACACCCACGTTCACTGCAGCACTATTCACAATAGCCAAGACATGGAAACAACCTAAATGTCTGTCAACGAATGAATGGATAAAGAAAATTTGGTGTATATATGTACAATGGAATGTTATTGAGCCTTAAAAAAGAAGGAAATCCTGCCATTTGTGACAACATCGATGACCCTGGAGAACATTATAATAAGTGAAATAAGCCAGACAAAGACAAATGGTGCATGACCTCACTTATATGTGAAACAAGGGAATGGGAGAGGTGGGGGAAATGAAGAGAAGTTGGTCAAAAGCTACAAAGTTTCACTATGCAAGATGAATGAGTTCTGGAGATCTAATGTATGACGGTGACAAGAGTTAACAATACTGTATTGTATACTTGAAATCTGCTGAGAGCAGATCTTAAATTTAATCTTCTCACCACACACACCCACACCCACACACACAAATGGTAACCATGTAGAGGTGATGGATAAGTTATTTAGCTTGATTGTGGTGATCTTTTCACAATGTATACATTTATCAAAACATCAAGTTGTACACCTTAGATATACAATTTTTATGTGTCAAAGACATCTCAATAAAGTTGTTTAAAAAAAACCTGCCCTCAGGATAATGGGACATCAGTTTTTATCACACCAATAACTGTTAGAGAAATTGGCTGATATAACTTGGTTTTGTTAGCTAAAAACAATGAATGTTTCATATACACACACACACATCTTTCTAAAGGAAATGTTGGTTTGGTAACTGTCACAAATTTTCTCAAAGAGTAATTTTAGGAGCCTTTTATATTTCTATTATTGAACTATTGGGTATTTTATTTATATAATTTATATTTATTTTTAGAGGAAATGTTTTATTTATTTGTTGGAATACAGTTTTTCATTTAAAAATAATTAGAGGGCTGGTCCCGTGGTTTAGCGGTTAAGTGCGCACGCTCCGCTGCTGGCGGCCTGGGTTCGTGGCTGAGGCCGCGTCCCACATACAGCAACTAGAAGGATGTGCAACTATGATATACAGCTATATACTGGGGCTTTGGGGAAAAAAAAAAAAAGGAGGAGGATTGGCAATAGATGTTAGCTCAGAGCAGGTCCTCCTCAGCAAAAAGAGGAGGATGAGCATGGATGTTAGCTCAGGGCTGATTTTCCTCACAAAAAAAAGAAAAAAGAAAGAAATTCTTCATCCCTTTCTTCAGCCTCCAGATTATCAAATTAAGTTCATACTTCAAATTTTCCTCCAAATCATCACTGAGTGAGTTATGTGCATAAATATGCATGTCTTTTATCTGAAGTTGTCAGGGAATGAGGTATTTCAGAGATATCGATTTTCCAAATAACTGAGACATGCTTTTTAAGCAACATTAAGGTTTTCTAAATTGTATTTAAAACTTTGCAGCTGTTAAGAAAACTTATGACTTACGACGCTAGAAGTTTCTTGAGGACTGCCTGGTTATATTCCTAAAGCCTAGACAGTACTGGAATACAGTAGGCCCTGGTGTGTGTTGGACATCCTCTTTGGATTGGAGAAGCTGGAAAACGCTTTCCCAGACACCCTTGCAGCTAGGGTTCTGGGTGTGAACTAAGTTCCACAAGTAGATGCACTTTTGCAAGATTTTGGAAGCAGAAGTGAGGCAAAAGCCATTTTCCTGCCATGTTTTAGCTGATTCTGCCAGCAACATCATGGAAAAGTGGTTTTCCTGAAGCAACATTCCAGAATCCGTCCTCCAGCTACCCAGGTCCAGAGAGGCATGGCAGTAACAGCAGCAGCAATGACAGCTTCTTGATTTCAGCTTCCTGATCCTTGGATTACAGTTAAGGGGGCATATTTTTACTGAGATATAATTCACATACCATAAAATTCACTTTTTAAAGAGTAGGGCTGGCCCTGTGGCTTAGTGGTTGAGTGCGCGCGCTCCACTGCTGGCGGCCCGGGTTCGGATCCCGGGCGCGCACCGACGCACTGCTTGTCTGGCCATGTGAGGCCGCGTCCCACATGCAGCAACTAGAAGGATGTGCAGCTGTGACATGCAACTATCTACTGGGGCTTTGGGGGAAAAAATAAAATAAATAAAAAAAAAATTAAAGAGTACAAAGTTGGGCCGGCCCCGTGGCTTAGCGGTTAAGTGCGCGCGCTCCGCTGCTGGCGGCCCGGGTTCAGATCCCGGGCGCGCACCTACGCACCACTTCTCCGGCCATGCTGAGGCCGCGTCCCACATACAGCAACTAGAAGGATGTGCAGCTATGACATACAACTATCTACTGGGGCTTTGGGGGAAAATAAATAAATAAATAAAATCTTAAAAAAAAATAAAGAGTACAATGTATAAGTTTTTAGTATATTCACAAGTTTTAGTATATTCACAAAGCTGTTCAACCATCACCAGTATCTAATTCCAGAATATTTTCAACATCCCAGAAAGAAACCCCTCACCCGTTAGCAGTAATTCCCCACTCTCCTCTCCCCCAGCCCCCGGCAACCATTAATCTATTTTTTGTTTCTGTGGATTTGGCTGTTCTGGACATTTCATATAAACAGAAATATATAATATGTGCCCTTTTGTGAATGGCTTCTTTCACTTAGTATAACCTTTTCAAGGTTGATCAATGTTGCAGCATATATCAATACTTCATTCCTTTTTATAGCTAAATAATACTCCATTGTATACCACATTTTCTTTATCCTTTCATCAATTAATGGAAAATTGGGTTGTTTCCACTTTTTGCTGTATGAATAACGCTGCCATGAATATTCATGTAAAACTTTTTGTGTAGACGCATATTTTCAATTTTCTTGGGTATGTACCAAGGAATAGAATTATTGGGTCATATGGTAACTCTATGTTTAACTTTTTAAAGAACTGCCAAACTGTTTTGCAAAGAGGCTACACCATTGTACATTCCCACCAGCAATGCGTGACACTTTCAATTTCTCTACATCCTCAGAAACGTGTTATTGTCCGCTTTTTGATTCTGGCCATCCTACTGGGTATGAAATAGTATTTCATTGTGGTTTGATTTGCATTCCCTTATAGCTAACGATGTCGAGCATTTTTTAATGCGCCTATTGGCCATTTTCATCTTCTTCGGACAAATGTCTGTTCAAGGGGGTATACTCTTGAACTGCTGCGGCAGCCTTGGAGGCAGCAGCCTCTACGAGGGGTTAAATCTCTCCTGTTCTGGGAGTTATTCCCAAAGGCATTGCTTCACACCTGCTCCTTTAGCTCTTCTAATAATTTTGTAAATACTCAATTTCCTGCTTAAAATATCTAGAGTAGTTTATTTTCTGCACTGAACTCTAACTGATAGAGCCATCGAAAAATATTACTCAGAGGCTATTTGCTTGGTTGTTTTTATTTTACTGCTATACTCTGAATATTTAAGGTTGCTAGACAAGTTACCTCTTGTTGTGAATTCTATTAATTGTGCATACATGTTATTAATTTTCTACTGGTGCCATAACAAATTACCACAAATTTAGCATCTTAAACAACACAAATTTATTATCTTACAGTTCTGTAGGTCAGAAGTCCAATACAGGTCTCACCAGGCTAAAATCAAGGTGTTGAGGGCCGGCCCCGTGGCTTGGCGGTTAAGTGCGTGCGCTCCGCTACTGGCGGCCCGGGTTCGGATCCCGGGTGCGCACCGATGCACCGCTTCTCCGGCCATGCTGAGGCCGTGTCCCACATACAGCAACTAGAAGGATGTGCAACTATGACCTACAACTATCTACTGGGGGGCTTTGGGGGAAAAAAAAAACAAAAAAGGAGGAGGATTGGCAATGGAATGTTACCTCAGAGCCGGTCTTCCTCAGCAAAAAGAGGAGGATTAGCATGGATGTTAGCTCAGGGCTGATCTTCCTCACAAAAATAAATAAATAAATAAAATAAAATCACGGTGTTGAGAGGGCTGTAATCCTTTCCAGATGCGCTAGGGGAATATCCATGCCCATTTGGGTTGTTAACAGAACCCAGTTCCTTGCGGTTCTAGGATTGAGATTCCTGTTTCCTTGATGGTTGCCAGCTGAGGGCCATTCCCAGCTTCCAGTGGCCAATGGCAGTTCTTAGCTTGTGTCTTCCTTTCCTCCATCTTCAAAGCCAGCAACAGCAGGGTGAATCCCTCTCACGCTTCAAATCTGTCCTCCTTCTTCTCTCTCATCTCTGACCCATTCAACTTCCTATCTTTTCCACCTTTAAGACTCAGGGGATTTGGTTGGGCCCCTCCTGATAATCCAGGATAATCTCTCCATCCCAAGGTTCTTAACCTTAATCACACCTGCAAAGTCCCTTTTGCCATGTAAGATATGTATTCACAGGTTCTGAGGATTAGAGTGAAGACATCTGGAGGGGTGGAGGGCATTAGCCTGTCTACCACAATACCACAATATAGATCTTCACATTTTAAAAATTCCAAGTCAGAAGTCGTTTGACATTAAAACTTTTATATCACTTTATTGCCACATTCAGATACAGCTAATTATTTTTTCAGAGTACTTCAAACATCTCATAACTACTAATTATTACTGTTAATAATTATAGCCATGATCCGAAGGCATGATGTGTAAAATAAAGTACAGATACTTGATGACACTGAAGCGCCAGGACACACAAGTCAATAGCCCAAGTTTCTGCCACTCTTCTAGCACTGAGACATAGCTGAGTAATACCACCTTATACTTAAATAGCACTGTATAGCTTTACAAGTGCTCTTGCATCCATTGTCTCATTTGTGCTTTACAATATCCCTAGAGGTACACAAAACAGAGCAAGTCTATCATTGCCTTTTTACAAATGAGAAAATGGAACTCAGAAATACTAAATAACCTCCCCAAGTATTAATAAGTTGAACTATTTCTTTCAGATGAAGTGATATTTCAGTAAGGGGCAGGCAGGGAGTAAATTAATAAATGGACCATACACAGAAAATGAGCAGGTCACAATCTTCACAGGGAAAATGCTGACATTTAGAATATTTTTAGGAATGATATAAAAACAACAAATAGTATTTGCTGATTTGATCTGAAACTATGTAAAAGTTAAGAGTTCTCTTCGAGGAAAACTAGGATTAATAACTTGTTTTTAAAGGTTCCACATCATGAAGCTATGTTACCCAGCTCTTCTCAGATGTACAAATAAAACAGGCACTAAAGGCATTCTGCCTGTCTGATCTTGTCCCTTTTACTAGTGTACAACAAGGAACTGGAGAGTAAGGGAACAAGTACACAAAGGCATGCAAAAAGTAAATTTAAACAAACCAAAAGTAGGTAGAGCCAGCCCTATGGCCATCCTACTGACAATAATCATACACAAAAAGGTGGTCCTGTGCCCTCTTGAGATTGTATTCTGATTCATCAAAGATATTGCAAGCTTTAAAATCAATGATTTTATGATTTTTCCAATCCCGCCCATCCCAAAGAAATCATACGAAATGAGAAAATGACTATTCATCTTTATCTACCACACTATCTTCCTTCTTTACCTTCCAGCTCCCGTAAGGGAAACGGGATGGTCAATCAGGTATTTGAATTTATTCCTTCGAACAGGGTGATGCCAGACGTGGTCAACAGGGCGCAGAGTACGCTGGGGAAAAGCAAAAACACAAATACACAGCAGAGGGCGCTCTAGACAAATGAAATCTATTCTTAATCCTTCTGAGTATTTATATTAAGGGTATTTGGATATTCTATGAAAAAAGAGACAGCAGAATTCTTATTCAAGAATGGAGAAAGGTGGAGAAAGAATGAAACAAGAACAATTCAATAGTGAAAGAAAAATATCCAAACTAAAAGTAGTAATGATCAGTTAGGTAAATCACATAAAAACAGGTTAATGGAAATACTCAAGCATTTCCTTGGAAACTTTCATGCAAAACATTTTAGCTTTCAATCTAGGAAATTAATTTTAAAATATTTTTTAAGACAATCTGGAATATATAACATACGCTCAATAAATACTTAATGAACTGGATACCGAAAAGACAATGTTCCCAAGAACTTTATATATGTATATACACACCTTTGGAGTTTTAATTTTCTTAGGAGGCAGTAAGTTTTCAGGACAAGGACCTGCATTGGCTGCATAGGTCAGAGAAAAAAGAACTTCCTCAGGGATGAACTCATTCTGAAGGGAAGTCGGAAGGAGTTTTGACGGATCCACCATATTTCTTTTCTCCCTTAGTTCAGGAAGTCCTAAGAAAGTAATGGGAAAGAAAAGCTGATTGTAGTTTCTGGAGAGTTAGTTGGAGATTCTCAAGCTGCTTCATCAATCCCATCAAAATGTTTCCAACAAGGAAATATTGCTTCTGGTTGCCAAGAATAGCAGCAATTTTTAAAACACTGAACATCATCTAGTCAAGAAAAAGAAACTCATATTGCCTGCCCTGTTCACACATCAGACACGGGTTCAAACTCTCAGATACAAAGATGAACCTCCATTATAGTAAATTCAAAATTGAAAATTAAACTCACTTCACTTAGTTAATTGGGATAGCCTTAAGATGAATGTCTATTTTCCCTTTGATATGAAAAACACAAAAGAAATCTCCTCTCCTCAAAAGTGTCAAATTTTGGCCGGCCCAGTGGCGTAGTAGTTAAGTTCAAGTGCTCCGCTTCAGCGGCTGGGGTTCGCAGGTTCAGATCCTGGGCCTAGACCTACACACCGCTTATCAAGCCATGCTGTGGCAGGTGTCCCACATATAAAGTAGAGGAAGATGGGCACAGATGTTGGCCCAGGGCCAATCTTCCTCAGCAAAAAGAGGAGGATTGGCAACAGACGTTAGCTCAGGGCCAATCTTCCTCACCCAAAAAAAAAAAAAATCAACCAAAAGTGTCAAATTATTTAGTAATTTTCTATATAAGTTCAAATGTGAGAATAATTGCATTACATTGGGGCATTTATAGAGCAGAAGGGATCTGAATTGGGTTTAAATGTAAAAGTAAAATTGAGATTGTTGGAAATGAAGAGAGTGGAATAATCTGAGCAAAGTGGTAGAGTAAGAACAGTACAAAGAGTGTTCTATGAGGTACACCTGAAATTTATATAATGTAACAGACCAAGGTTACCAATTAAAAAAAAGAGTTCTACTCAGCTTGACCAGGGCAATGGAGTTATAAAGGGAGCAGAGCTAATACAGGGAAAGATCTTCTATGAAGTCAGTCAAGGAGAGTCGGGTTGTCACTCTTAGAGAACTCTCCACTAATCTATGCCTCTCCCATAGTATGGCTCATGTTAATTTCTATAAGGAGTATCATGCTTTGATCACCATCAAAACCTCTAAAGTTCACACTACCAAATCTCTACCTCTTGAAAGTTTGGGATGGAGTCAGAATATCAGAAGAAATAGGTGCAGGGAAAAAAAAGGCTGGGTAGGGCTTTAGCACAATCTCCTCTAAAAACAAGATGAAAATGAGTTGGAGGAAGCTTTAGCATAATGGCGGTAGCGATGAGTCTAGCTGATTCTTATTCTAGCACAGATCTGCATTTATCTGTTTATGAATAAAAATCTTTTTTTTTTTCCCCACTGAGGAAGATTAGCCCTGAGCTAACATCTGTTGTCAATCCTAAAACTTGATACAAACTGGTCCCTTAAAGTCAGAGACCAGGTTATCAAAAAGTACTGTTTCATATAACTAATATTGGAATTTAAAATAGGGTGAATTTAAAACAATATAAAACTCATCAGCATTTGAAAAAGAATTACAAATACAGTCCTTAGGTGGAGTAGTGAAACAGGACTCGGACTCAAAAATACTATAAAAGAAATGGCTTCTGATTTTATTGAAACAAGTGTATCGGAAAAACAAGGCTAATTAAGGTATCCTGAAATCTCAGATTAAAGAAAACAGGGAACGGACTGTGATTTCTGTCTATGGCCATGATTATCTGTCTGTGGGAACCCTTGAAGGACTTCACCTGTCTCTTCCTTGGATGCAGAGACTTTTAATTTTTTGCCGTCAGGCGTTGACGCGGAGTTTAGCAATGTTGAGGGCGGTTTCGGGAGAGGCATAATAAACAATGCCTCCTATCACTCTCTTTAGTAATTTGAAATATCCCTGCAGAAAGCTAACCTAGAAACAAATCAGCGGCGTATTGGGATCCGGCAGGGCTGCCACACTGTCCTGCAGACAGAAAAATGAGACTCGTTAAGTGCTTATGTTAGGATCAGAGTCGACAATTCATCTCGCCTGGGTTTTCCTTCTTTGGGGAGACCTCAGTGTTCTCTCAGGTCATCTTACGCGACTAAGAAGCCTGTGGGTCAGGGTCTGGGCGCAGGCCGGGAAGGACACGCTCGGCCCACGCCCCCAACCGGCGGCACCCCCCGGAGGGCGCCCCTCGCTCCAGACGGGTCGGCTCGGGGCCCCGGCCTCCCCCACAAGCAGCGCCCCCGCGCACGCCAGCTCCACGGACTCGGGGTCGGGCAGAGTTCGCGCCGTTTCTGCCTCAGAAGTGATGGGAAACGGACTTTTGCACCTCATACCCGTAAATTGTGTTTCCCGCCAGACATCTTGTCGCCTCGCCTTTTTCCGGAAAGCCTGCGTGTCGTCATGGAAACCCAGAACCCCGAGCCTTAGCAACCCTCAATCGGGGCTGCCTTCGGCGGTGCCGGCGAAGGAGGGAGACAGCTAAGAAACAATCCCAACAGTATAGGTTCAGTAGCACTACAGAATAAACATGTTTAATCGGGCTGTTCTCACGGAGTCCGAAAGCGTCTTGATCCCGGGACTCTCGCCCGCAGGCCGGGCCCAGTGCGCAGGCGCTGGCGGTGGCCGGGGTCGCTCTCCCCCTCCCTCGGGGACGACCTCCCTGGCTCTCGACGGCAGGCGCCGCCGGATTTGAGCAAGAATCCATTAAGAGTATTTTCCATCGCTCTATCCTACTTGGTTGTTTTGCATAGTTTTCTAAAAGCCAAATTCAGAGGGAGAGGCTTTATTTTGGATGCTGCCCATCCTTGACATCTTGATCAAGTCTTCCTTGGACACTTAAGCACCGGCCCCCTTCCCCACCCCGAGCACGCGGAAGGCCTTCCCAGGTCTCCCAGGTCGAGACCTTTTTTGGTTGGAGGCAGGGAAGAAGACTGCATTTCAGACGGAGCCAACCCAAGGAAAATTGTTGAGTCTTCTTGCTTAAATACCTGTTCTCAGGAAAGAATGTGATAAACGCATTAGCACTGAGGAGCTGAGAGCCCGCTCTTCACCTCCACCAGGGATCATTTTGTACTCAGATGGAGCCTTAATGCCAAATAATGCTGGTGGAATCCCAGCGTCTAGATGCCTCTAGTACAGAAAATAGATTTCAAGAGGGAAAAAAAACTTATCTTGTTCAATTGACATACTCCTTAGTACCAAGCACAGTGCCTGGCACAAACACCTTCAATACATGATGTTTGAAAATCAACTGGACAGTTCCATTGCTTCTGTGTTGATAGTCTTAAGTTTCTGGTTTCTGTTTTCCTAAGTAATGTTACTGCACAAAAATGGGGTTCTGCTACCCAAAGCACATTAAAAAAGCCAATTATTACAGCATCAGCTTTTGGGAAAAGAATTCAGCTTTATTGCTAGATTGATCTGCAAGGAGACAGGAGGCATCAGCTCTCAGATCTGTCTCTCTGATCTAGGGCTTGGAGCAAAATTTATGAGATGAAGGGCAGGGCAGTCTGAAGTGTGGCAATAGATGATTGGAGGTAAGGAGAAGTGAGGTAATTGATGATCTGCAAGTGTAGTCAAGCTTCATGCCTCTTCATGGAACACATGTTCACAAAATGGTGGTGTTAGTATGCTCTGAGGGTGAAGTTTTCAGCCCTTTGACATCAAAAAGGTCACTTATTGGGCATTTGCGCAGGCCCAGTTGATGGGTTGGTGGTCTCAACTGGCTTGAACTGGACGAGGGGTCTCAGTTTCTGAAAAACCACTCTTAATTACTCTGTTGATAAAATGGGGTCAGTTGAACTGGTCCTAGAGGGCCAGGGGTTACAATAATACCAATGACATATATGAGCAAAGTGTCAAAAATAAAAACAACACAATCTCTATGGCCACTTTTAATTCTCCTAGTCAGACACCTTGGATGTCTGAGCATTTTAGCCTTTAGCCCTATCTCCCATCACCCTAATTTTTCTCTAAATTTTTCCAAGAATTAAAATACACACATAAAAAAATAAAGAAAATACACACATATAGCACTCATACAGCACACATATAGTTCCCCTTAAGGACTGGCAACCATCAAAACAGGTGATGGAGGCGCTGGCCCTGTGGCGTTAGCAGGTAAGTACGCGCGCTCTGCTGCTGGCAGCCCAGGTTTGGATCCCGGGCACATACCGATGCACCACTTGTCAAGCCATGCGTGGTGGGGGCCCATATAAAAGCAGAGGAAGATGGGCATGGATGTTAGCCCAGGGCCAGTCTTCCTCAACAAAAAGAGGAGGATTGACAATGGATGTTAGCTCAGGGCTAGTCTTCCTCACACAAAAAAATAAAACAGAGACTAGGTTTTCTCCAAATAAATTTATTTACCACATCTTCACATATGCAGTATTTTGCCATTTTTGGTGTTAGTATACTTTTTAAAGTTTAAAATTTTTGAACTTAATGCTAATACACTGCATACTAAACAAAATGACAGTACCACTGATTAGAAAACCAAGGATTTGGGGGAGAAGAGGGAATAGGAAATCCGGAAAAAAGCAAACAAGAATGAATTAGAAAAGACATCTTTAATTATAGATATTACATCTTTAAATCAACTTCAGATTTCCACCATCCTTCTACTGCTCCCAGAATACTGTGGGTTTAATGCACAAGCTGGAAAGGTATAGACACAGGAAGGAAGCTGCTGCACAGGTCCAGTGGCAGAGCCTTGGCTGTGGCTTGAGCTCTCTTCCCACCCAACAATTGGCACATTTGCACATGGGAATTCAAACTGTATCCGTAAACAACTGGGTGCTGGAACTGCCTCATGTTTCGAAGTTGTTTAAAACAAAGAGAAAGTACACCTACCACTTCATTAAGACAAACAAAAGAACACCACAAAGCATGGTGAAGCTTAGCACTCCGTTGGGAAGGGCATACTGAGAGCAAAAATGTGAATGTAATAATGTAGAAATAAGGAAGAAAGCATGTAGAAAAAAGCAGTACAGAGGCAGTTTTACATTTTTTAAAAACTACTTCACTTCTGAAATTAACCCTTTTTCTCAAATCCACATTAGCTATTAAAGTCTTTATACTGGGGACCAGCCCCGTGGCGTAGCGGTTAAGTGCGTGCGCTCCGCTGCTGGCAGCCCAGGGTTCGGATCCCAGGCGTGCACCGACGCACCGCTTGGCAAGCCATGCTGTGGCAGCGTCCCATATAAAGTGGAGGAAGATAGGCACGGATGTTAGCCGAGGGCCAGTCTTCCTCAGCAAAACAAAGGAGGATTGGCATGGATGTTAGCTCAGGGCCGATCTTCCTCACAAAAAAAAAAATAAAGTCTTTATACTTTACCAAAAAAAAAGGAAACAATTTATTAAGGATTTAGTAGATTATATAGATTGTATAGCTTTTCTACTAACCTAAAGCTTATCAATTTAATCATTATTTATTGATTTTCATCTTGGGCATTAAACTTAGGGTGGGAAAGAGCATGGGCGGACCAAGCAAGAAGGGCTCCACTCACCGTGTTTGAGCCAGAGTAGCCCTATTATATCTCCTTTATAAACTGGGTTCCAACACTCTATTACCTGACAGAAACTTTAGTGATGTTAGAAACTAATCAAATACTTATGTAAGCTTCACTAATAATATTCATTTTGTTCCTCAAAACATTTATGTCCCAGTTCCTTCTATTTGTGAGCCATAAACATAAAGCCTAGAGATAAGATATGTGAAACCATGTCCAAGACAGATCTTTCTCTGACAGTAAATATATACATACACATACATATATATAAAACTGTATTATATAAACTACTTAAGTTACATGAAATTTTGCACAAGATTAGTAAGAAAGTCACTTAAATTTTTTTTTTTTTTTTTTTTT